AGCGCAGAAATGTATTGTCAACACTGTTCTGTGATTTCTCAATAAAATAGCTTAGAAACTGAAAAGTTCAAGCATATATTTCTTAATAACCAAATCCCACAGCTTCACTACTAGTAGAGAGACGCTGCCAGGTAGAATTAATTCACACACGCAATCGCTCTCACTAATGCATTCATATTAATGTAATCTTTACTGTGCTACTTTATCTGTATCTGATTTAGAACGAGCAGAAATCTGTGAGAAATATAACGACCCAAAGACAAAAGAACTGACAAAAAAAGAGCTGTTATAGGAGCAATAGCCATGTGTGCAGCGCTGTGTCATATGCCATAGCTGTGCACAAGGTGTTCCAGTCTCAGCTCCAGACTTATTTGTTCATTAATGACGTCATCAGCGACTAGTCGACTTCGACTCGACTTTCATCACATAAAAGTCGACTTTAAAAAATCAGAAGTCGTTCAACCCCTACTTGAGACTTGTTCAAATCCCTCACTTATGACCTGCAGCAGGCTTTATTAAACAGACTTCAAACGCAGTCTGCAAATCTGACACATTCGCACCAGGACTTCATAAAGAGCGCAGAACATGGCTGGTGCAATATGACTCACCGGGTCAAATCTGCGAGCGAGTCTATGTGTAGCTCAAGGCAGAGAGATGCAAATATAGAAGATCTCTGCTGTAATGTCAAAGTTTGACATGCTGGTGTACACATTCAGGTACAGGACGTTCTTTGCACACAAAGCAGGCACAGACTTCCTCTGCTTCTCGTCATTAGACAGTCATTTAAAAGCGTGAAACGGTAATGGCTCATTTATTCCCGCGCGCCAGCTATTTTGTCATTCCGCTCGCTCCACGGTTATCGCAGCCGCAGCCAGGAAAACGCAGACAAGAGGGAAGAAAAGGAAGGGAAAGTCAAGGGAGGTGAAACATGGGCCTTTAATCTCTCTGTTCTCTCTCAGTGCTTCCACACTAGAATATTCATGTCACTGCCGCTCTGCAGGACTCAGTGGGGTTTGGGAAAGTAGCAGTGCATTTTCCCAAAAAAAAAACACACACACACACGATGGTGAAGGATTTTGATGGAAGACTGGTAGAAAGCCAAGCATAAGCTTTTGCTGATAGAGAAGAGGCACATGGCATTTGACCTTTGCAACTAATTGTGACCCTGGAGCACAAAAGCAGTGTTAAGTCGCTGGGGTATATTTGTAGTAATAGCCCAAAATACATTGTACGAGTCAAAATTATCAATTTTTCTTTTATGCCAAAAATCATTAGGATATTAAGTAAAGATCATGTTCCATGAAGATACTTTGTAAATTTCTTACCGAAAATATATCAAAACTTAATTTTTGATTAGTAATATGCATTGCTAAGAACTTCATTTGGACAACTTTAAAGGAGATTTTCTCAATATTTAGATTTTAAATACTGTCCATTTAGTCCATTTCTATGGTTCAGTCTTTCTCAAATGTTCACTCTTCAAAGTCATTTTTTCACAATTAAGCTTTTCAATTTCCCAACACATTGCATAAGACATTTAAATTAAAAAGACTCGCAGGGGAAATACCAGAAGTCAGTTACTGTGGCAGTACCATGGTATAATGTCTGTATACTGTGGTACTTTTTAAACATACCATGCAACTATATTCATTAACATGCCATGGCACTTCAGAATACAACTGGAAAAATTTTGTTTTTAACAATACACATCCACAGTATCACCACTATATCCAAAAACATGGTGCTAATTTGTTAATGATTGCATGTTTATTATTAAAACTGATTGAAGAATGAGCATGTGGACGACTGTAAGATGTTGGACAATACTGTAAATATCTAGTGAAGCAAGCAGTGAACAGGAGGTCGTGTGGAGCGGCTTTAATAATTAAAAACTGTGACTCTCGCACCTTGTGTTCAAACCACAGGGGTGTGAAAGACAATCAAGCCAGCAAATCCCTTATCGCACATTAACGTTCATTCCCCAGAATGCGCAGGATGGATGTGTGGTTGCTGTTTTCCAGCAGGCATGTGCAAACAGAGATCAGTCTGTCTCTCTCAAACAGAAGACGAATGTGCAGAACTGAAGCATTGCATGAGTTTGTGTTTGCATTCAGCAGCAGAGCTCAGAGCCAGGGAATGTAAACTGCACTGCTGTCCAGCGTCCGCTAGAGGAGATCAGCATCTAAACACTCTTATTCCCCAGACCGGTCTGCTCATTTTTCATCCGGACTCTGACAGCATCCATTTAA